TCATGCACTGGGCTCTAGTAAACAATAAAGAACTTAAATTTTTAAAAAGAAATTAGGAATCAAGATTTCACTGTAAAAAAAAAAGTAACATTTAGTTTTACAAATGGGTGACTTTAGGTGAAAGATATTATATGCTTGCTGTAGGGTCACTTGATGAACTGGGTCTCATTAATTAAATTGCAGAGATGGCATGAGCTTCCTATATTTTTGTCCCTAAGAGAATGCCCAGATAATTTTGGCAACTGGATCTGCTACAGGTGTAAGTATAAGGGTAAGATATGATCAACATACTGATGTTCCAGCAGTCTCTTTATCCAAGTATCCTGCCTTGTACTCCAGATGTTCCCCAGAGACATCACTCTCGAAGAAGGATCATTTGGTCTTTTTTGTCCTTTGAAAAAGGCTTTACTCCTGCCAGTATCCTGGGCCCCACCTCCAGACTTTCTTCTCCTTGCACGTTACCCTAGAAGAACCATATCCTCAGCTATTTTAAATTGGAGTGACATCTGGAGGGATTTCAGACATTGAAATTTTAGAAAATAAGATTTTTATTTTGCTGTTTTGAAGAGCAAAGACCTAGGAAATATTGCTAATACAAGAGTGGGACAAAAAGAAGACAGAGTATGAATTTTGGTTGAATTTATTTCTATTTTATTATGGTATTAAATAGAAAGTTTAAGATTATACTTGATAACATACCCATGAATAAGTGGATCAGTGAGGAGTACTCTAAATCAGTCCTGTCACTAATAAGAGAGGAGGATGTCATCAGCCTCTTAAACACTTTCTAATGGGTAACAGATCTATTAGGTAGATATTGTCCCTCTCCATGACAGCACAATTAATGTCATGGAGAAAGCTTCAGGGTGGTTAGGGAGCATATATTTTATTTTAAAAATGCCTAACTGTCTAAAACCTAAAATGTATAAATTGAATTTTCTCCAGAAATGGTTTGCAATTATCTTCCCTTGTCACTGCATTTTTCAGGATGGAGAAAGCCATGTGTTTGCAGTACACTTAGAGTTCTTTGAGTGACTGATAACATTACAACTTGGATGATCCAGGAAGGATTTTTATTCTCTTTAATGTATCTTTTAATAAGTAAAATTAAGGCAATCTATTCCTCCAGCTTAATTGGTTTTGTGACATTCCATTGAGTACTGGTAGTTTATATAATAAGGCTGACTCTGTTAGTAGGGTGCCTGGCCAGAGGGAAGGAAAATCACTATTCACCTAAACCTATTCCCAATGTTGACTCATCTTCCCAAATGCATCAGCATAATCTTATTCACCTTTACCAAGGATATGGCAAGATTGGGACCACTGATCTGAGTCAAGAACTCTTCCAAATTCTGTTCTTGGTTCTTCCAAGGCAGAAATGCAAATTCAGCATCTGGCAAATGGGTTATAAACTTTGTCGAGTTGCAGACCTTTCGAGTATCTGATGAAACTGTGTTGATACAGGTCCTCTAAAATGGGATTAACCATGAAAGAGATTTATTGACAGAAAAGCTTCTAAGGGAAAGTGAATGAGGAGGCTAGGAGAGCTGTCAGACTGAGAAGGATATCTGATCTGATCCAGGAAAGAAAGAAAGGTTAGGTGGAAGTGCCTTAGACTTCAATACAGTTTTAAGGGAGTTCTACAGGCTCTCAAGGTATCCTAGAACTAAAGTTGCCTGCCTTATTGTCCCTGTCATGCTCACTAACTGCCTTGGGAGCCGCTAGGGCTCTCAGTCAAGTACACTGCCCATAGTCAGAAGTCTAAGAGGAGCATTCTCATGACAACCAGTCTACTCCTTGCACTGCACAGATTTCCTTCACATAAATACAGGAACAGATCCTGCATGGTTCTCATGGACCTCTCTTCCTGAGGGAAAAACTCAGAAAAGGAGGGTTAGTGGGACAATTTACGATCCTTCTTGCTGCAGTTGGTCTTGGAGCTGCAATTGTTACTCATCCTCTCTCTTCTCTACTATCCATTCTAACCTTCAGCTATAACCTCTGTAGGTCTGCCTTTACCTGTTGTTATAATCCAAACTTTCATTCCTGAGAAGTCTGAGCCCTTGTAAATCATACCCTTCTGAGGCTGCATTTTCTATTCACGATCATACTTGGGTAAGAGAGTAGTAAGAGGTGCCCAAGTTTATCACTTGAGTAACATACACATTCCTACCTGCTGCAGCCCTACTTCCTCATGATGATCGGCATCAATTGCTCTTGCCATAATTGTTACTCCTTTTCTTGCTTGCTAATCCTTGGTCACAAGGTATCTAAAGTGTCCTGGTGGTGACCATGGCTTGTAGTTCAATGGGACCCTTTCTGCATCCTCTGGCAAAAGTGTGCCCTCTTTGAGGACCATGACCACCAACACTGTCATGGTCAGAGTTGATGGGACTGGAAGCATAGGGTCATAATGAGGTATGTGGGGCCACTCTTGCTTCTACCTCTTGGTCTTTGGATCCATGTATTCTTCCTATTGGGGGCACAGCAACAGATAGAGGTCTCTGATTTAATATATACACTGTGTCCTAAAGGGAACCCTCTTTATTCAGAGTGTTGCCTAAAAACTGGCAATTCAGTTACTTATTTTAAAATCCACTCCAGTGTTTTATGAGGATGGCTGGCTCTGGATAGTGTGGTAATGTGATAACACCAGTGGATGCCCTGGAAATGGGCTCACTACCACTCCTCCTTTACTGTAAATTGTGCCTCTAGTCAGATGCTATGAAATGTGGGATTTCATGCTATGGATCATGCCTTTCATAATCCCCTTGTTAGTGGTACTGGCTGAAGGTCTACAGACAGAAAAGGTGAACCTATTCTTAGAATAAGTATCTATTCCTTTGAGGACAACTTGCTGACACTTCCAGGATGGAAAGGGCTCAGTATTGTTGACTTGACACCATGTAACCAAGAGATAGTGCCATATCTGGAAGCTCATTATAGGTCTCTATTGCCAAAGGGTTAGACATTCAGACACAGCAGTAGCTAGATCAGCTTTGGTAAGTGGTAGTCAATGTTATTAGTCACCAATATTATAGGTCCAATGTATGTTGGTCACCTGGCCACTTCATGAATATGCCCACCAAGCCAATTCTAGGGTGGCTGGTGGCAAAGGCTAGCTGCTGCATTTTGTCTACTTGGTTTAGTGCCTCTTCTTTGGTGGATGCTTTCTGCTGCACATTTACATGTGATACAAAGATCTTCACATTTTGTACCCATTCCCATGTTTCCATTCACATGCCTTTATCCTATAACTCCTTGTATCTGATCGTGTAGCCTTCTCTTCCAAGCCATTGGCCACTACCCATGAATCTAGATATTTTCACCTCAGACCACTGTTCCTTCCACACAAAGTAGGTGACCAGATGTACCATTTTATCTCCAGCCACTGGGAAGATTTTCCCTCTCATTGTCATTCAAGATAAATCCTGAACATGTTGTAATGTAGTTATCATCTATTTTCAGCTTTATATACACACTGAGCCAAACCATATGTAAACCAAAAAGAACTTCATTCTCCTCTTTTAACTATTTGTATGAGAACCCTCCCCCATATGACAGTGTAGTTCAAACCTTAGTGGGGTACTGGTAAAGCTCTTATGGATGACATGGGACCTGGGCTATCTGCTCATGCAGTTTACTTGTGTCCTCTGATCTTACTCAGGCCCCATTTTGGATATACCATTTTCTGCTATGGATGGCTCCAGACTCCGAGGGCCTACATTTTTAACTTCCACTGGAGCTTGCCATAAGCTCCATACTGTAGCTTTTCCACCACTGACACTTTTAATACCATAGGTCAACTATGGATTGTAAGGTAAAACAAACATATTTCCTGCTCATGGGTCTGAGAGTAAAGAAGGCAAACTACTTAGTTACAATTATGAATGGTTTCCCTGACCTTCCTTTTTCATCAGTAAATGTTCAGTAATACCAGAACCTCATAGATGTGAACATCTCTGTGTCCAAGTTCTTTGATAATTAAATTATTTGTACTTTAAATGCCACTTATTTTGTACTCCTCTCTTTCTTGCTCACTATATCCTAGCTATACTCATCTTCTAGTTCCTTGAAGAAGCCAAGCCCCTTTTCACCTCAAGGCCAACCTGTACACTGGTCCTCTAACTGAAAGATTCTTTTTTTCATTCTTCATTTAATTATATGGAGATCAGAAATTAAATACCTTCATTTCTTTTACTGACCTTAGTTAAAGAATATAATTTTTACAAATATATTTAATGGAAAGCCTTGAGGGGAGATAATATTATTAGCATAACTACTCTGAGAATTAATTCAAAATGTCATGATGGTTGTACAAGTCTCAGAAAGATAACAAAGAGAAGTTAGAGAATATTTACATTTTAGTGACCACATAAAAAGGCACTATTCAAAAAATAGCTAGTAGGGGCATAAGTTTTTAAAGATAATGTTATGTGCTCTGTCCCTTGTTAATGGGATAAGATCTTCAGTGTCTTTTATGACAAGGCTTGTAAATACAAAATGTCTTGTGTAACTTCTCATAAAACATTTATTATAGAAACTTGTAGTTGCTCACTTAAATGGTAAATTATTTTTATAATAAGAAATGAAATGTGCTCACTTAAGCAGTACTTCCTTCCTGGCAAAGCCACAGAGGGCAGGGGCCAAGGCAGAGGCAGCAGAGGCCCCTGGCCACAGCAGCAGCAGCAGAGGCCCCCAGCCCTTACAGGAATGTTATGCATCAGGCCTCTAGTTATACTATAAGCACCATGAGGGCATGGGTCATGTCTTCCATGTCTGGCACAAAACTGAGACTCAAAATAATAGATGGCTTGGCATGCATAGAATGAATAAAACAAGATTTCAGTATGGATTTTATCCATAATTAGTACAGCCAAGACTTGCTTTATAGAAGTGAGTCGTGAACTTTTTTATTTTCCACCAGAATCTTTTGAAGGAATGCTACTAAATATTACAGATGAAATCAGATAGATTGGACTTTTCTGGTTTAATCAGGAATGGGTGTTGCAGAGTTCTTCCCTCTTGGTCTCTCTTGGATCTCTGGAAGTATTATAGGACCTTGCTTCATAATGGGTGGTTCCTGGTTCAGCTAGTTCAAAAAGGTTGGTACAAAGGCACTGGTGGGTAAAACTGCTGACACCTTAGCATGAATTAAGGCAGTAGAACCAAGTCATTTTATTCTTCACTATCACATACAGGCAGTTTTTAAAAGCCAGATTCACTTATGTATATCCTTGATGAAGCAATAAAAAAGTATTAATATTAAATGTCAACTCCTGTGTACATATCTCTTTAACATTTTGTGTGATAACATGAAAAGTAAGTATTAAGCCTTTCTGTTGCATAAGGGAATGTGATTATTGAAAAGTATTGTGCAATTCTTTAACTTGTTGAATTAGGCACCTTTTTTATGCTATACTAGCTTTAACTGGAAAAAAACTCACATACTCTGGTCATTAGGACTTGGATATTTGGCAGACATCTTCTTGAAATTGAATGAGGTGAACCTATCACTTCGAGGAAAGTAACTGACAACTTTCAAAAGAAAATTAGAATTGTGTAGAATTTATATCTGCTTCTTAATACATAAAGATTTTTCTAATGAGACAGGTAGTTGTATTAGCCATTTGAGCTGCTATAACAAAATTCTGGGTAGTTTGTAAACAGCAGACATTTATTCTCACAGTCTTGGAAGTTGGGAAGTCCAAGATAAAGGTGATAATATGGTCATGTTCTAGTGAGGACCCTCTTCCTGGTTCATTGCTAGTACCTTCTCACTGTATCCTCACATTATGGAAATGGCTAGGGAGCTCTGTGGGGGTCTCTTTTACAAGGCACTAATCCCATTTATGAGGGCTCTACCTTCATGACCAAAGGCCCTACATCCTAATATCACAATCTTTGGGGATTAGGATTTTATGAAGGCGGGGGGCACAAACATTCAGATCATAGCAGTAGTGATAGTACCAACTGTGATTTTTTTATATCATGTAAATCATTTGTAATATTTGCATAATTCATTGGACTAATATTTTCCAAATGGCCAATATTGGAATCACATATGGGTAAAAGATCTATTCAAAATGAAATATAGACATTAAGTTTAACTTTGTAGAAAAGTTCAGAGATGAGGTTTCAGATTTCACATTGCAAATAATCTTTAAGGAGCTATCACTTGTGGAGTTTCAACGTAACATCAAAGACTATTCATGATTATTTGAAAAGGCTATTAAAATATATCTCCCTTTTCAAACACTTATCTGTGTGAGGCTGGATATTCTTCCTATACTTCAAGCCAGCGTAGTGCTCCAGATGGAATGCAGAAGTAGATATGAGAATTCATCTGTCTTCTATTAAGGCAGGCATCAAAGACGTGCAAAAATATAAAATAATGCCAGCCACTCTATTTATTAACTTTATTTTTTTGGAAAATATAGTTATTTTTCATAAAAATGATATTATTTAT